TCCACTCACAGAATCGATCCATCTCATCGAGGGTCTTCCTCTCCTGCATTGTCTCTCTGCTCTCCCAAACATGATGTCCCTTTCCAAGGACAAGTTCCTCCTTGCAACATGCCCAAAGTATGTCAGACAAAGCTTCAGAATTGTTGACTCCAAGGAGCATTCTGGCTTTACCCTCCCCAGGACAACCTGTTTGCTCTCCTAGCAGTCCATGGTATATTCAACACTCTTCTCCAGCACCACAGCTCAAAGACATCAATTGTCTTTCTATTATCCCTATTCACTGTCCAACTCTCTGATGCACAGCATGTAATTGTGAAGACTATAGCCTGTATCAGGTGCACCTTAGTCTCCAGCCTGACATCATTGCTCTTCAGTAGTCTTGAGAGGTCCCTCACAACTGACTTTCCGTATACAATTTGTCTCCTGATTTCCTGGTTGCTGTTACCAAGAGCGCTGACTGTGGAACAAAGTAAACTAAAACTGTTAACTATCTCAATCTTTTCACCATCCATACTGATGCTGCCAATTGGGCCAGTGGTGAGCGTCTTTGTTTTGTTGATGCTGAGCTTCAATCCATTTTGAAAGCTGCAGTCCTTGACCTTCTGCAGCAAGTGCTTCAAGAGTCCTCCTCAGTTTCCCAAGCAGGGTTGTGTCATCTGCATAACGCAGGTTGTTGATGACTCTTCCACCAATCCTGATGCCACATTCCTCCTCATACAGCCCAGCATCTCGGATGATCTGTTCTGCATACAGATTGAAAAGGTATGGAGATAAAATACATCCCTGAAGGACCCCTTTTTTTATTTTGAACCATGTAGTGTCTACTTGCTCTGTTCTGATGACTGCCTCTTCATCCAAGTATAGGTTTCACATTAGCACAATCAAATGTTCTGAGATTCCCATTCTTCTCCAGCCATAGCTTGCTGTGATCCACACAAAAGCCTTTGCATAGTCAATGAAACACAAACAGACATTCTTCTGGTATTCTCTGCTTTCTGCTGAGATCCATCTAACATTAGCTATAATATCTCTAGTACCACAAGCTGTTTTAAATCCAGCCTGCACATTTGGCAGTTCTCTGTTGACATACTGTTCCAAATGTTTTTGGAGGAGTGTGTGAAAAACAACGTATACAAACTTTGTAAGCAAACCAGTATGAAATAAAAATTTTATATTAAAAAGAAAGCGGAAAACAAAAGAAAGCAGAAAGATGGGAAATATCTTCCCCTGTGATTTACAATCGCTGAAACATAAGAGAGGCGCAGTCTCCTCCACAGGACCCCATGGTGGGTATGGTGCCAGCTACTTCCCTCTGGGCTGCTTGTCTGTCTGAAGTGGTGCTTCTCTGAGCAACTGCAACTGTATCCTAAGATTGTTTGGGAAATACTGGGACTCCTCTATTAGGGAAAAACCAAACTAAACTAATTCCATTGCCACTGATTTACAATTGACTGTTCACTGGCTTTCCAGGTAGGGGTGTAAATCACACAGAAGGAGACTGCCCATCTGCCTCCCATGGAGCTGAGGGTGAATGTGAACCACTAGAGATGCACCACTTTGGAGTCAGTACTACAAGTCACTCAGGACTAGGCTACTCGCTCTAGCAATGAGTGCTTCTTCAACTTCATGATCAAATGAGCTGGGAGGGGTTTCTGCATTATATAGAAGGGGGACCTATAACCATGATGATAACAGCAAGTAAACTTGAACTCCTACTATACGAAACTTACCAAAAAAATCCCTCAGAAATGTTGTAATTAGCCATGTCATATAAATTAAACCTATGTTTTTTTCACATAAAAGAGTTGGTTACTTTTTTTCTTTTTAATAAGTCCCATTTTGATTTCCTAAAGCAATGTCCTGGATCATAATAGACTGAAGAATTCACAAAGGGTCTTGCCAACCCATAAAGGACACAGACTGTGAAATTTTATTCTAAAAATAAAGATCACTACAGTCTATAGACATTTTCAGCTAATGACAGGTCTCTTTGACTCAATTTAGAAATGTGATCATTTTGTTCCAAATAATGGATAGCAAATCCCCAGGGCACTTAGTCAAATCTCATAGCACTATTTGGGTTCTAATCACAGCTTCTGTTATTGGCATTCTTTGGCATTCAACATCATTAATCAAATTCTCAATTCCAGAACTATGTCCTAAAAATCAAACAAGCAATCGGCAACATCTGGGACTCTTCTCGCAAAGTGCTACAAGACTAATGTTAAGAAATAGTCCTACTATGCGAAGTAGAAAGAGTGGCAGGGATACCTTGCTGCCAACACTAAGAATGTCATCCTCTACATGTACACAGCTTCTGTGAGAAGCAGGAGTAAGGACTGATGCACAAGAAATACATAAGGTTGTCTGTGGGGCAAGCCTCTTGGCACTCTAAGTGCTGTATTCACAAAACGAAGGTCAGCAATGTTGTCTACAACTTATGCAGTAAAGAGCAAGGCCTTTGAAGAACTGTCTCATACTTAAAAACAGTACACCACACTTCCGATGCTGTGAGTCCACCCAAGATGTGGGAAGAAGTAAAACTCACTCCTGAGAAGGAGGATATTTTAAGGAAAGTAGTGAAAGAATATTCAGAAAAAAAATATATTTAAAGAATGCAAAACTCAGGAGCCTTCTGAAAATAGTTCTAGGAGGGCAAACTTCTCATGTCTACTGTTTTGAGTCCAGGCCAGGGTGGCCAAGCAGATGAGCTGGCAGGCAAGGGGCTGGGGTTCTACCTGAGGAAAATCAAGGCTCAGCAGTGCAAGTAAATCCACCTTCCTCCCATGTTCGAAACCAACAAATGTATTAAAGGTGCTCGTTCTTTAAAAATAAAAGAAAGAAAAATACCCAAACAACAAAATGGAGACAACAACATCATCTCAAATTTTTCTATGGAAAAGAAAGTCTTGTTTACAGTCCAGTATTTCCAAAGATACCATTATTTTGCAGTGCATATTCTATTTACTTTACTGCATTAAAGTAGTCTGAAAGATGCATTGATCACCAATAACCCCCATAGACAAACATGAGGGCTTTATGTCACCAGATAAGACCAGTCAATTAAAATAGCCAAAAAGGTTTTTATATCTGAATAGTGAGCCTATAAAAATTTTTTTAAATCCTTGAGTATTAATTGTTACAGATCATGCAATGTATATCTATCAAAGCAATATTTTAAAATACTTTCAAATGTCTAAATGGTTTTAGGGGCTTAAAATAACATTTATGGTCATAACAAATATGGATTTAAAAAAGTCTAAACCCACTGCCAAATAGCTGATTCCAATTCAGAGTGACCGTACAGAACAAAATGGAAATAGTGAGTAATGCTTCCAAGGCTGTAGACCTTCAGAAGGCTGACTTTTTCCCATGAAGTACTTGGGAGTTAAAATCACCCCTCTGGGATAGCAGCCAAGCTTAACCACTAGGTCATTAGGCTCCTTTCACATCTGAATATTTAGATAGAAATAAAAATATAATGCTCTGTAAATCTCTAATAGGTAATTCTAAGCACACTTTAGTGATGAAATTAGCACTAACAATATCAAAGGTACATGTAAAATGTTAAAATGTTTATAAATGAAAAGTAAAAAGAATAATATCAAATGAGCATGAGACCATAAACATTTTCAAAATTAGTAGTAATTAATGTTAGTAATTATGATAGTGTTAATAATAATAATAATAATAATAATAATATTGTTAATAATTTATGTATTTAATCTACAATGCTGAATATATTCAGATTGGAAAAAATATTTCTGAACATTGAACGTTCCCATAGAGTTAGGATCATCTTATCTTGGGTCTTCTAATGTAGAGATTTTTAAAGGGTCAGTTAACTATTATATTTTCATATAATTAATATTCAGCTTCTAAAGTTTATTTACTACCTACTCTTTGTCCACTGTGAGCCCCTACAAGGAGCTCTCATCAGTGTCACTATGCCATGCTTTGCTTTGTTTTAAAAACATATGACTATAATGAAAACTGAGGAGATAGCTCATTTACAAAATTCCTCCCCAAATCCCCCCAATCCTGTGGCTCAGGAGAAGGAGTTAGTTAGAAAACAAGCATAGAACGAGCATGATATTTGCATAAAAAGAGAGTAAGTTTATATTCTCCATAAACTCTGGTGTAAAGTATTTAAAATCACTCTTGTAAAGGTTGAGCTTATTCAGTGGTTACACAAACATTGCGTGATTGGCTTTGTACGGAAGGAAAACTAGTCCATATTCGTAAGATATAAAAGCATTTGGTACTCTGTCACTAGAAAGAATCATGCTGTACAATACTCTCTGTACAGTTTATTTAGTAAATGGCACCAGTGGTGTAGTTTTCTAAATTGTTATTCAGCACAAGGGGATAATTTTGGGGAAGGGCAGTGTCACGATCACACCCAGGAATATCTGGATTCTTTCACACTGGCAGAACACAAGTAAGCATAAAGTGTGTCTGTTCTGGTCTCCATCTACAAGTTCAAGTTAGTGGGACACCAAGAGAAACTCAGTATAAGGCGTGTTAACCACAAAGTGGTCCCAGGGCCTAAACTCTGGTTATTGTCACAGGGAGGTGTCAGCCATATCTGTTTTCATGTTCAGATTTAAGACTCACAGGCCCCAGGCTTTAAACACTCAGACTCTCCCAGACGAGGGGGATGCATGGGAATAGCCAAGAAGTCCAGGAACTGTCCACTGAGGTACTACAGGGGAGTGTTATCAGACAGCTAACACAAAAGCAGAAACATTAATAAGATGAAAGTATCTGTCTAACCACAGCAAAACTATTTGAACAATTATTTTACAGAAAAACTCTCATTACATGACAAGAATTACTCAAGTTTGCATTTTCTCTCGTTACTCCATTTGAAAGATCATCACTGCTATAGACATAGTTCTACCTAGTGAAACATTCTGCTTTCCCCTGAGATAATTCCAAATGGTAAAATTAATAATAATTTGAAGAAGTTTCAATTTAAAGGTGAAAACAGTCTGTACCTGAGAAGTCAGCTGCTAAGAGATCAACTGCCTTTAAAACTTTCACTTGTAAAAGGCCGATGTCCTTCATGTCTTTCAGGGAGTTCTGTAAGCACTAAGGGAGGAAAAAAGATCAAAAATGAAAACCACTTCCTAATATACCAATTAATGCCATGAAGTCCTGCAGGAAGTGCAGTCTCGATTTATGTTCACCCTTCCCATTAAGTTCTTAGAAAAGCTCCCAAAATACATTATGTTCGTTAAGAGGACAGTGAGGCATTCACAGAAGCCTGATTAAGAGAAAAGTGACTGAGAGTTAATTAACTACAGTGTCAAAATAAATTACCAGCACACACAATCTCTTAACATTGTCCTCTGGGCAAGATATGTGAACTATATACTCATTCTGATGTTACCCCTTCTTTCTCATAAATGAAACTTTTTGAATCATCCTAAAAAGGCACATTATTCTAACCCAGTTACTACAAACTTTATAAATACCAGACAGCTAACCTTAGACCCTTCACAGATATGTCAGCAGGATGGAAACAGAGCAACTTTTCTGGTTTATATTTTAGCCATTTCAGATAGGATGAGCATCTATAATCATCCTGATTTTACATACACTTCCATTAATATTTACTTCAGATGAGAAAGAGAATGAATATACTTTAATTCTGTCTTAAAATAATATTAATATTATTTTTAAAGTAATATTTTCTTGTATTTTAGGTGATAGTTTGCACAGCAATTGGGTTCCCTTTAACACTTTTTGTGTATGTCACTGAAGACAATTTGTACAATATATCCACATTCTCATGATTTCCATTGTATCCCTTGTTCTAGATCCCCTTCTTTTTGCCTTCTCATCCTTGATTTTGGGTAAATGCTGTCCATTTGGCTTCATATAATTCATTATTTAAGGGAGGATTATTTGTGAAGGCTGTGCTTATTTATAAGCCAATCACTTCTTGGTTAAAAGTGGGACCTGTAGACAGACCTTCAATTCCAAGTTCAAAGAGTACTTGAGGTCAAAGTCTTGGGAATTTTTCTAGTTTCTATGGCCTAGTGTGTCTGATCTTCTATAGGAATTTTAATTTTTTTTTTTATGTTTTTCTATCTGGAACCTTCTATTGTGTTCCTCCCTGCTCAAAACCATCAGTAGTGGCTGCCAGGTACCCTCTAGTTCTTGTGGTCTCAGATCAGAAGAGACTCTGGTTCATGCAGACCTTTTTTCCCATGGACTCTTAATGCCTTTGGTTTTCTTATCTTTTGTTCCATGAGTAGATGTCAATAGTGATATCTTAGACAGCCTCTCTCAAGTTTTTAGAACACCAGATCAATGATATAGATCATGTTCTAGGATGAAGAATATTATATTTGTGAACTATGTTAATTGAAGACGTTGTCAACAGGCACTATGATCCCCAGTTTTTCACCCAGTAAACCAATCACACAAGTTGTTTAGCTATGTTCAGTGACTGTGCTCCATATGTGTGCTTTATTATAAATGTGGAGATATGTATATATATATATATATGTGTGTGTGTAGTCATACAAATGTGTATCTACTTATATCTATCCTATCCATGCATATTGATTTACTCAAGTATGATTCTTTAACATTTATCTACATAACCGCATGTATATTATTGTTGGTTGTTTTCACTGTGGTTGTAAAATTGTAGATCTCTATACTGTAGTTGTAAAATGTTACAGAATTTACCAAATTGTTCTTGTGTCTTTATTTACTTGGTCAAGTCACTGAGAGAGAGTTACTTCTTTGTGTTTTTTATTTACCTTGGTTAAGTGGTAAAGACTAATTTCCTATTTGGCACAAAAGGCAAAAAAAAAAAAAAGGAGTGATCACTAAAGAAATGCAAGACAGAGAGAGGTAAAAATAATAAGACTCAGAATTATGGAGAAGTGGGAAAGTTTAATTACATTGTGGGTATTGAAATGAATGTTATAGTAGAAATGTGTATGAAAAATCAATTTGTTTTGTAAGCATTCACTCAAATCACAATTTTAGTCTGAAGGTGACTCCTCTTTACCCCTCCACTCTCTAGGCCCATTCTTGGTAACCTTAAAGAAACTTTGTTTTTCTCCGTAGCTCTCTTACTAACTTTTTATAACATAGTAGTGTAACTACACAACATGTGTCCTTTTTTATAACTGACTTCTTTAAGTCAGTACAATGGTCCTCTACGTTCACCTGTGTTATGTTTTGCTGATTTCTCATTACTCTACAGAGTTAGAAGCTATTCCATTAGATGTGTCAGAATGTACTTGTCACGATTTGTTAATCAACCCACCCACTGATGCATATATACACTGTTTCCATATTTTTGCCATTTTAATAATTCTGCAATGTAATCATTCTTAAATATATAGAGAGGTATCCATCCAGATGTTTTAAGATATTTTACATGAAGAATGATACTCTCTAACGCAACCTCCAGAACACATCCATGGAGGAAGAAGGAAATCTGTTCCATAATACACTTTAAATTCTATTTTGTCATCACTATATGGTGGAAATCATGTGGAAAATAGAGCTCAAAGAATAATGGAAGGATTACTGTTGTGTGTCATGGAGTCAGAAACAACTCACAGTTGACCCCCTAGTAGGTTTTCTGAGGCCATTAATCACACAGGAGGAGACTGCTCATCCTTCTCTCACAGAGTACTTGATGGGTTTGAACCATGAATCTTTGGGGTTGTAGCACAGGTTCTTACCACTAGCCCACCAGTGCTCCCCAAATGGAAAGCTTGTTTTTATTGCTGTGTACCGTTGAGTCGGAAATGACCCATAACTGGCCCTATGGCAAGCTTTGACAGGCTGTAAACTGCACAGGAAGAGACTGTCCATCTTTCTCCTATGGAGCATTTGGTGGATTTGAACTGTATGCCTCCAGGTCTGCAGCATAAACCATATTTAGTAATATCATATCTAATAAGAGAAGCTAAATAATAATTGGTGATATAGTGATAAAGAGTTGCACTGCCAACATGTGGTTTGAATCCACCAGCTGCTCCACGGGAGAAATATGGACAATCTCCTTCAATGTGATTAAACTGCCTCTGAAAACTCGCTAAGTATCAGACTTGATGATACACAAAATAATTATATATTAGTTCTAAGACTTTGAAAATTGTTTCTTCTCTGCATTCTCAACCCAGAAATCAAAAAGCAACAACAACAACCACAAAAAAATAACACCTTTACTTTAAAAGTAAAATATTTAGAAAAAAGACTTCTGAATATTTTAAGGTTGTGTGACTTCAAACATCTTCTGTTCATTTAACTTAAAACACAAATTCATGAGGCTGCGACTTTCTTGGATTCACATGGCTCAGAGAGGACACCAAACTGCTTTCATCTGGGAGTGACACGGGACATGGCACTTATCTCTCCATCATGTCCCACCCAACTTGCTGGCTGAAGCTAGAACAACAGCTGATAACTACTGTTTGCATCAAAGTCTCCTTCACACTTTTTTTTAATTCATACTTTTCAGATCCTGAGGCTTTACTCACAGCAGCCATTACAATCTAATGTTCATTATAAAAAGAGGATATTCTTCATAAATTTCTTATCATTTGCCCATGGGAAAGTTTCAGGGCAAATTCTAGGTGGTTCCATGAAATGCTCATTTGCTGACCCAAAGTCTTCTTAGAGAATATTAATGATGATTTTTGTTAAGGCTCCTTTAAAGTATGCCAACACTGCATGCAGACTTTGGGTGACAATGAGATGTGTTGCTAGATTTTATTCTCATGGAGACAGAGAATGATTCAATTAATCAATATATCTTTGCAGTGTCACAGTGGATGGCTATGAGGGCACTAATGTGTGCGCTATGAATGGCATTCCCATTGAAAAGGGATTCATCTCTGCTTAATTTTCATACCACTTTCTTAAGCTATGCTTTTCATCGGTGGTAATAAAAATAAATTTATTGATTTACAAAGGAGATAGGATAAACAGAATACAAATAAAGACCTCTAGAAAGCCCAAGTACAAGCATGAATGAGGAAGACACAGTTACTGCGTTTTAAAACACTGAGTGGGCTTTGAAGTACACTGCAACTACTTAGTTGAAAATCACACACTGTTATTATTATCCAGGGTTGCACACAATGGCATCCTTCATATCTGGTCAGGGCTTTGCTCCACAAAGCACAAGCACTTTCTCACTTGATCCTAAGAGGTTCTAGAAAGACGTCTTCTAACATGTCAAGCATTAGTGCTTCGGAAACAAAGAAAACAGACAAACAAAAACCCTACCACTTATATGAACTTCTATTAAAATTCTTATCCACCTGTGCAAACACGCAAAAACAAAACCAAAAAGCAGTTTGAATCCTTGAGGATTTCCATTTTCTCCAGAGTTCTTAATGCAAGCTCATAATGTTTTTCAGTTTTAAATGTCACAAAGCAAATTATAATCAAATTTCAGCTTCTCACTAATGCACTCGACACTAGGTCTGACGTTTTATGAGAAGTGCAATTCAATTTTTGACAAAGATCTCTTTGTATGCAGTTCATAGACTTTGTTTCCACTTAAAAAGGGTGGAGGCGCGGGAGGGGAATGACCAGCGAAAGGACTCACATATCGCTGGGAGATCTGCTCTCGCTCGTTGGGGTCTGCCAAGGGGCAGACACATAGATCAGAGATGGAGACCCCCGCACAGGGTGTGAGTGTGACCAGCATGAGGAGTGTCCCCAGACAGCTCTCTAGCGGCAACTCCAGACAGTTGTCTTGCTTGAGAGGGAGGGCAGCGATATCCACTTTACACCTAGAATATGTTCACCGGAGAAAGAAGAGTGATTAGCTCAAGGCACTTCAGAATCACCAAAGCACCTGATTTTTATTTTATCCTCCCAGAAATCTCGCTCTGTCTGGCTTGGGTTTATTGCCAAGGGTCCTCACTGGGCAGTGAAGGTTGCAGGTATCCCCCAGCTCATAATCCTCATTCCCAGCCTAACACCCTCTAAAATTAAGGAGGGAGAAGCAAAGAAAATAAAAGAGAAGGTAGCACCAGGGGACAGCAAACGGCAAGAGAAGAGCACAGTTTTCGCCAAATAAAAGACTACAGAAAGATGCTGAGATCAAGAACTGGGGAGGCAAATGTTTCCAACTTGAAGCATTTCTAATGAATGTTTTCTGTGGCTTCCTTGGGCTGCATCTCTTATGAGTTAGGGAAATAAAAATTAAGGTTCAAACAGAAGGGGAAAAAAAAGGAAGAAAAAAGACAGAAGTACAGGAGGGAGAGAACTAACGGAGAAACCATTTTCTTCCCAATTAATGCCAACTGGAGAGTTTTTATTTAAAGCAATGTGTTAAGGTGTTTTCCTAATAGGCGCAGTTCCTCCTGGTCCCCCCAGGTGGGTTACTTTGGGACAAATTGAGCATGAAGTGCTGCTGATTGATCCCATTTCTGCAGCACTGCCAGTGAAAGCTGTACCCATCTGGGATAAATTGCATGTTTTCCGCTGCTTAACAGCCAATGTTCTGGGATGGTGAAACCTCAAACACATTTAAATACAGAAGCAAACACCACAAACGGAGCTGAGGTGCTAAGCCATTTATTTGCTTTACCACTGCGTGGACCACACCTGTTCTGTGTGTGTACAATGACAGACTGGGAGGGCTCCAGTGGAGGGGGCAGGGGGCAGGCAGGTGGGCTTTCCAGATGTGATGTTTCTGTTTCTTTATTGCTATAATTCTCATCTGCCATCTATAATTATTGAATACTATGAGTTGATTCAATAGCAATGTGTTTTTGGCTTTATGATTATCAACCGACTTTCAGAGTAGGTATAGAAACACTGCTGCTCATAGCACAGGTAAGGACAAATTCTTATGCTAAATTCATTTCTGGGCTTCATGTGACTGCAAAGAAAGGGGTAAAGTGACATAATACACAAAACATTAACTTTGAGCAAGCAGTCTGTAGGTGAATACTTCCAACTAATTGAATTGCAAAGAAAGTGGGCAAGGCCTTTCCCAATTAAAACAAAAACTCCTAGTACTTCAAGCCAGCTTTTCTACAGGTCAAAAGTCTTTTAAATGCTGATTTGTACTTATAAGTATTCATGAGTGATTATCAATTTCCTAGTTGTCCAAACTGATTCTAGTTAGAAGAGCAAATGGAAATGAAAATTTTCTATGTCATAAAATGCCTCAAGTATTTATATTGTAGACAGATAACCAAAAAAATCTCTCTGTACAGTAATTCTCTATGATTTGAATGGAAACCATTTTCTTCCTGTGTCAATGAGGAGAGTTTTTAAGTTAAAGCTTATAGCAATCCATACAAAAAAGGAGTTACTTTTTTTTTTTTTTACTTCAATAAGTATAGAAGAGGAGAAATAAATTTGCCTGGACAAAGTTTCAAGTAATTTAACTGTGCCATTTCAATAAAATTAAGTATCAATAAATTCTTAACCAACATCACAGTAGTACATCTTCTTAAGAATACTCTGATATACATTATTTTACATCATTAAACACATTTTCCTTTAACAAAGCCACTTCTTTGGAAAGATGAATGATTTGAATTTGTAAGAATTTTCTCTGGTGGTCACCTCATTTAGTCCAAATTAGTAATACCCTACTTATAGCACATTCTTTTTAATATCATTAATAATGGCATTATATTTTTGTCCTATGAATGTTTACCATTTCTTATCACGGTGGCATTTTTGTGTGTTTTTTAAACAGCCCAAAGTTATTTAGAGACAAGAATGCTAACAGCTAATAATGTTCAGCCACAAACAACAATGCATAATTAGGTAATAATAAATTTTTTTCTTGGGTGATTCAAACCGGACCTGACATTAATTCTAAAATGTTGTCTGAAAATGCTGTAAGCAGTATTAGCCTATTTGAAACAGCACTGCAAACTCTACTGGTGACTTTTTCAAGGCACAATTTACTGGAACAGAGGAATTTATCACTTTAAACAAAAGCTGAGTCACATACAAGATAGTAAATATTGGGATTATTCTCAGAAATAGCTCAATTTCACACACTTTTCAGTCATTTCTGCCCACCAACTATGAAATGTCTCCACCTATTTCTTGGAAAACTAGAAAAGAACACGTGTGCACAATAGCTGTGTCTATTTTCGATACAGTAGTCTCTGACGGGCACAAGCAGTTAAGTATTCAGCTATCAGGTCAAACACTGAGGTTTAGAAATCCACCCAGGCTTGCCTTGGCAAGGTTACAACTTTCAGAAGCAATTGGTTTTTGTTTTTTAAATTATTCAAGTATGAAAACCCCATCAGCAACAGGTCAAGATTTTAGCACTAACATAATGGGTTCTATATTTTCATTTTACTAATTAGTGAATTCATCAAAAGAGTCACTTTTACTTTCTTAATGACTTGAAAGATGACATTAAATTGACTAATCAGTATGTCAATAAAAACTAAACCTGTGTCGTTTCACCCACAGGTTACGACCCAGGTATTCAAGAGTTCCTGCCCCACCATGTGAATTGATGTCTTAAGTCTTCAGAAATAAATTAAAGCTGCCCCCTCACTAGTTGTAACAACCAGCTCCCTTATAAAGAACACTTTCTATAAACTTTCTATAAGTGAACTGCTTGCTCTCTGTCTCTCTTCAGTCCAGCTGGCTTTCCATTTATTCTCACATTCTGGAAGCAAAGGGGAGGGGGAAAAGGATATTTTATTGAGGACTCTTTGCCCAGATCTTCCATTTTATCTTATTTCAGTATCAGTTTGCCCTGAACTGACAAGAAAAACTACAACTTGAGTGACTAGTTATAGGTTGGAAGTATTATTAGTTAAGTCAAAGCTCGGGAGGGGCCCAGAGCACTGTGAGTCAAAGCAGCGGTAAAAAGAAATTTTACTTATTATTTATTTTAGGCATTTGTTTCTGTGGTGTCTAACTTTCCAAAACTGAAGAGAAATGTTTGTCATTTTAATAAGAATCATGTAAACAAACTAACTTTGGTGGTTAATAAAATGTTGAAATAAAACTAAATGAACTAGCACCTGAAATCTTAAAGATGTGAGTTCTGAAATACATTTATCAAAATTGATATTATAAAAACACTGATAGTAGAACCTAAGATTCTTTTCATCCACTTTGCACTGCCTTAGCAGACCAGCGGAGGGGTAGGGGGTTTAAGCACTTTTGTTGTCAACCAAAGGCAGGCAGTTTGAATTCACCAGCTGCTCCACAAGAGAAAGACAGCAATCTCTTCCTGTGTGATCTCCAGCCTCTGAGACGCCCCCATGGAGGGTCAGCCAGCTCTTTTTATTTTTATTCTACTAATTTCGTATCATATTAAAGCTCCTCTTGAATGAAAAAATCTTCTGAAAAACCACTGAAGGGTCCACCAAGAGCTGGTTTCAACTCAGCAGCAATGAGAGAGCAAGAAGGACTATGTTAAAAAAGAAAAACAAAAACAATAAAATATTTCAGTTGCTCTCTTAATTTTTTTTTCTACTTGCTACCACGGGAGCATGGCGATAGCATTGCTCTTTTCCAATGTTTGTTTTCATCTGCTTTGTAACTTTGTACAAAGTTAGCCCCTGGAACGTCTTTGAAAAAGAAGGCAAATTAGGCTCAGACTCTGAGATAAAGAAAAATCCGAACTTCCAATCTCCACTCTATAATTACCTAAATGTGAATTACAAACTGACCAATTCTATAATTTTATATTGTTAAATATCTTTTTTTTCCTTTTCATATAAAGCCCTGAAATTTTCTCCCAAGCTCTATACAATAGCCCTCTTTTGGGAACATTTATGGAAAGTTTATTAATGTTGAGGCAAATTTTCTTAAAAATAGTCTCCATGTTTACAGATATAGTCTATAAGGTGATCATAATTATGTTTTTTTCCAAAAGAGTTCTGCCACCAATTTAAAGACAAGCCTTTTGAATCTGTCAGCTGCTTCTGGAAAGAAAGATGGGCAATCACTTCCCATGTGATATAGTCTCTGAAAATCCACTGGAGGCTCAGCTAGGAGTAGGTTCTGATTTGAAGGGCAATAAAAAAAAACAACAACAAAAACATTAGCAGATAACAAATGGCTAGACCACTTTTTCTGTGCAGAAATAAGGAGCAAATATTTTTAGTTTCTGTGTCATTTGTTACCACAACTAACTACTATACCACTGTAGCAGCAAAGCAGTAATGTTGTTGTCCTTAGATGCCCTCAAGTAGCCTGCATCTCATAGCAACCCTATGTATAAGAGCTCTGAAGCCTGCTCTATCCTGAGCCAGTCTCACTGACGCCAACACCTACCACCATAGCCCCAGTTGCTGTGTCAATCCATCTCATCTGGAGTCTTCCTCTCCTGTATTGTTCCTCTACCCTCTAAGCATGATGTCCTTCTCCGAGGACCAGTCTCTCCTGGCCATGTGCCCAAAGTGGTAACTGTTGTTGTTGTTGTTGCTGATTGTCTTCAAGTCCAGCACGACTTATAGCAGCCCTATGAACAAAAGCCCCTCTACAACTATGGACATTTATCAAAGTTCATAGAACTTCCAGAGGCATGCTATTTAGGAAGTGGAATAAACAATGTAAATTAATGCAGGAAGCATTGTTACAATAAAGTTGTATTTATATAAACATTCAGTCACCTGGATTTGGCCCCAGGGCAACTTTGACAATCCTTGACATACAGAAAAGCTAATAATATGGCTGTGGTACATCAGCGGAAGCATTTATTTTCTTTTTCTTAAAAAGGAGAAGAAAAATCTGTAAATTTAGACGTTGGAACCACACACATTTATACAACTGTTAGAGATACTAA